GCTCTGCCCCCCCCACCCCCCCCGCCCCCCCCTCCCCCCCCCCCACCCCCCCCCAGGCCCCCACCTACCACAGCCTCCACAGCCACAGCAACCCATGGTGTCAGTAGAGAGGATTCAGGTGCAGTGAGGAGTCAGACTCTGGAAAGGAGAGGGAGATGTGATGCCCTATTCTACAGGGAACCCCCTTTTTATACTGCCCCTCCTTTATTTTTAGCCTAGTTTTGGTGGAGAACTTCCCGAGACTTGACTTCCTTCCTGAGTCAGTGTGCCATAACAGCAGTGCTATTTTTAGCATTACTATCTTCAAAATCCTTGGAGTAGTCACTTGGGAGTGAAAAAACTCTGATGTATATGTAATCCAAGAGCAGAAAAAAATGATTCACAGAATGAGGAGGAAAAGTAGTTGTAACATCACAACATGACTTCTGCATCTAAAGACCTGGGGCACAGGAGACATTTATGAGTGTCCTCCACATGAGGCTGGATTCTCAGGGTGCTGGGCAACCAACATGTTCCCCAACTTGTTCCGTAGCAGCAGTCTCCCAGCCTCTGGCTGATGAGAGGCATATCAAGGGAGTGGTTATTTTTTTTTTTTTAACCTTGATGTTATTGAGCTAGTGAATGAATTTTAAAGGAAACGTTTATTTATGAATACAGTATTTTGCCTGCATGTCTGGCCAGAAGAGGGCCCCAGATCTCACTAAAGATGGTTGTGAGCCACCTATGTGAATGCTGGGAATTGAACTCAGGACCTCTGGAAGAGCAGCCAGTACTCTTAACCACTGAGCCATCTCTCTAGTCCCTGGGAATAGATTTTAATGCTTTATGTCTCCTGCTTTTTCCACTGGCTTATCAAAGAGATGCCAATGGCAAGCCCTGGCATATGGGATCCTGAAGTAATAGAGACCTGAAAAGTCACGCCAACCGTTTGTGACCTAGAGCATGTCATGTAAATTCATTAGTGACAATGAAATGTCAGACAGAGCACATGCACAGATCTCTGCTGTGGTTTGCCCATAGCGTCTGCATTAGTCCAGTTGCCTTCAGTCTGAAGACCGTTGAGCAAGATCGGAACAGCACATGACTGCCGCAGGTCCTTGGACCAGAAATGGAGGCCCGACAAACTGAGTTGGCTGGACATTTCCAGTCAGCAGGCCCTTTCGAGAGAGCTTCGTGATTTTGAAAACAATCATAAAACAGATAAGCAAAAGGCAGGACCTCACCCTTGCTGGTAGCTTAGGGCTAGGCTGTTGCAAAATTGTACTTTTTTTGTTTGTTTGTTTGTTTTGAGACAGGATTTCTCTGTGTAGCTTTGGAGCCTATCCTGGAACTAGCTCTTGCAGACCAGGCTGGCCTCGAACTTACAGAGATCTGCCTGCCACTGCCTTCCGAGTGCTGGGATTAAAGGCGTGCGCCACTGACACCCAGCCAAAATTGTACTTTTTCAGCATCAGACATCACTCAATTATTTTACTGTAACCTTAAAAGTTTTTCTAATGACTAAAGAGTCCCAGTGAGCCATATAGAGACTGTCCATGCTTTCAGGTGAGACTCATAATTTTAGGGTTGCCTGCCATGTCCTTTTTGATGTCACTTTTCCACTAATTCTTCTGAGAACATTTTCCTAAGGGGGCATGTTCCCCAAGAGAGTTCCCAAGGATATACAAAGACTGTTTTGTCTGAATTCAATGACTAAGACATAGACATAGAAAACACAGGACTTTTTAAATCAGGGCCTAGACTGAGCATTGATAGCTATGAGAGAGTGTAGTTTCAATTACAGAAACACGCTCAGCATTTGTTGAATATTAAAGCTGTGCACTGAATACCTGCAATGTGCCAGGCCCTACCGCAAGTACTAGAGTGAAACAAACATACACATCTGGATAGAGACCTCTCAGACTCATGTTGGGATCTAAATATAGACAGAGGAGGTGAGTAAGAGAGTTAACTACAAGCTCAGGATGTCCACAAGGAAGCATGCCAGAGGCCTCGTGAGGTCTTTCATAGGAATTTAGATAAACAAGAACTACCTAAATAGTCAGATGATGTCCCAAGGAGCTGGTATATAAGGGTTTCTGTCCCAAGAAGGGGCATCACATCTCCCTCTCCTCTCCTGAGTCTCTCTCCTCACTGTACCTGAGTCCTCTCTACTGACAACATGGGTTGCTGTGGCTGTGGCGGCTGTGGCGGCTGTGGCGGCTGTGGCGGCTGTGGCGGCTGTGGCGGCTGTGGCGGCTGTGGCGGCTGTGGCGGCTGTGGCGGCTGTGGCGGCTGTGGCGGCTGTGGCGGCTGTGGCGGCTGTGGCGGCTGTGGCGGCTGTGGCGGCTGTGGCGGCTGTGGCGGCTGTGGCGGCTGTGGCGGCTGTGGCGGCTGTGGCGGCTGTGGCGGCTGTGGCGGCTGTGGCGGCTGTGGCGGCTGTGGCGGTGGCCGTCCCCCCCCCCCCTCTCCCCCTGCCGCTCCTGCGGCTGTGGCTCCTGTGGCTGTGGCTGTGGATGTGGCTGTGGGAAGGGCTGTTGTCAGCAGAAGTGCTGCTGCCAGAAGCAATGCTGCTGCTAGGATGACTGCTGGCCTCTGGGCAGGTGCTGCCAGGACCGGTTTGTTGGTGAGTCCTGCTGTCTGCAGGGGGTGTTCCAAATTAGCATGCTGTCACTGTTAAGGCTTTCTCTTTCCTAGTCTCACAACAGCCTGCTGTCTCTCCAGCATCGGGACTCTGGCTCTTTCTTCCCTGATTCCAACGCTCTGAAGTCCAAGTCATTTTTGTCTTTTAAAAGGCAGACCAAGGGAGCTGGAGAGATGGCTCAGTGGTTAAGAGCATTGACTGCTCTTCCAGAGGTCCTGAGTTCAATTCCTAGCAACCACATGGTGGCTCACAACCACCTTGAATGAGATCTGGTGCCCTCTGCTGGCAATAAATAAATAAAATATTAAAAAAAAAAAAGGCAGACCAAGGACAAAGAGGCAACACATCTTGTTACTGATTTCAATGAAATAGTTGTGTGTGTGTGTGTGTGTGTGTGTGTGTGTGTGTGTGTGTGTGTGTGTGTGTGTGCGCGCGTGGGTGTGTGTGTTTTCCTCTTTGAACTTCTACTTGTGTGTTAGGTTTCCTTGTGTTTAACAATGATAATCTGTATTTTTCTGTAGTCATGGAGGTCTTTCTAGCATCTAGGCCATGTATTAATTTGTTTTTAAATAAAATTAGAAAATAAAATATAAAATGTCTCATTTAGTTTTGTTCATTTGTTTTGTTTTTGAGACAGGGTTGTTCTGTGTAACCCGTGCTATCCTGGTACTTACTTTGTAAACCAGGCTGGCCTCAAACTCAGATCCTCCTGCCTCTGCCTCCAGAGTGCTGGGATTAAAGGTGGGTACTACCACCTCCTGGCTTTAGTTTCATTCATTTTGTTATTTTCACCTGATTACTGTTTATTATTATGTTTTATGAGATATGCCCATTGAAGACACAAATTCTTAAGTCCTTGTGTGATTTATTATGTAGTTATATACAGGTGACCACAGATATAAAGCGCTCTAAAATATCCACATTGATGCCTCATGGCATGGACAGAAGGGATTAACACACTGTTGTGTAGAGCATGGTTATGATTCAAAAGAATTAGAGCTCAGGAATCAGGTCATTTGGGAATGTGGTTTGAGGGTTACTAAGAGCTAGTAGAGCCGGACAGTGGTGGCTCACATCTTTAAGCACTCAACTCAGGAGGCAGAGGCAGGGGAGGCAGAGGCAGAGGCAGAGGCAGAGGCAGAGGCAGAGGCAGGTAGGTGGATCTCTGTGAGTTCAAGGCTAGCCTGATCTACAAAGTTCCAGTACAGCCAGGGCTATTATACAGAGAAACCCTGTCTCAAAAAAAAAAAAAAAAAAAAAAAAAAAAAAAGAGCTAGTAGAATTAGTGGTTGGGGTAGATGTTCCAATCAAGACAGAAAAGTGAATGATGGAAGTTTGAGAACAACAGTGAGTTTGAGATAAGCAAGAAAATGAAGGCTAAGACTGATTTAGATGTCTGCAGTTTGTTGGTGTGGCAGGGATAGCAGTGGTGGCAGTAACAGCCCGCATAGACCAAGCATTCATGGTGCCCTTAAAAAACCAGGCATTTGGGGGCTAGGAGACAGCTCTTAGAAAACTGAGTTTTATCTACGGATCCTGTCTCCCAACCAACCTGTAATCCCAGTGATGTAGAGACCAGTGGATCTCTGGGGTTGGTTGGCCAGGCAGCCTAGCTTACTTTGTTTGCTTCAGGTCAGTGAGAGACTGTGCCTCAAAAACAAGGTGGACACCCCCAGAGGGAGGATACAGAGTTGGACCTCTGGCCTCTATACAAATGTGCATATGCATGCATGTACACCTGTGTGTCTATGTGTGGACCTCTGGCCTCTATACAAATGTGCATATGCATGCATGTACACCTGTATGTCTATGTGTACCCACGTGAACACACACACACACACACACACACACGAGAGAGAGAGAGAGAGAGAGAGAGAGAGAGAGAGAGAGAGAAACCAAAAAGGCAACATGTAAAAACAGCCAGGGGCTAGGGTGTAGCTTAGGTGTACTTTGGGATCATGCTCGCTCAAAACCCTGGATACAGAGATCAATAAGACAGGCATTCTCCCATGAACATACATGTGTCATAAATCATAGGAGAGAAGCAGTATTATCGTACCTATTGAATACATAGGAAAAGAACATAGACAGTTTGTGACTTGCTCAAACCACATAGGGAAACCTTGGAGAGACGATTTCTAAGTCTATGGTGACTTGCGGAGTTAGTTCCTTGGGAGAAACGAAGCTATTTTGGTTCTCCTTGGAAATGCAATGGGTCCCAGGAAAACAGAAGAGAGGAAATGACAAGTGGTACTCAGGGAATTAATGGTGTAATATAAAATCAAAGGTATTATCTATTATCTGATAGAGGACAATAGTGACACAATGATACACCATGATCTCTTTTCTGAGAGATTTGGGTGACAGAACATAGAAGCCTATTTAAAAATTTATATTAAATACAGTCAGCAATAAGACAAGGAACCAAGAAACTCCTCAAGTTTGTCCCATTCTTTAAGGTATAGAAAGAAAGAGAATTGATAGGCTAGAGGAGTAAGAGTCATCTAATACATGCACATGGTAATTCCCTAGAAAATCACCCCATTCCTAGTCAGGGCGGATGTTTTCTATTGTAGACATAACCTGATACTGTGTCTGGAAATCTGTGATGTTCTTCGGATCAGATATTTTGTCACAGCAGTGCAAAGTCTGGCAAATGCAGCCGGCTATGGTGTCACCTAATGGGTGAAGAAACTTGCAAACACTTAATTCAAAAGCAACGATGTAGGAACTTTCTATATAGTGAATTCTATCATTTAATAAGGAGTGTGTCATTTCGTGACTTGTCATTGTGCAAAGATTATAGAATGAACTTACAGAAAGCCTAGATTACACACATACACACACAGAGCAAACAAAATATGAGTCAACCAATCTCTCTTCCTCTCCCTCCCTCTCTCCCCCCTCTCTCTAACACACACACACACACACACACACACACACACACACACACACACACACACGAGAGAGACTGATAAACATGGCTGTGTGAGGTTGTGCTGGGATGAATGTGATATATTTGTTTACAGTAAACTTTTAATAAGTACAGGTACACTCCAAAATAACAATAAAAGTATAGTGTAGTAAATATATAAACCAGTAACAGTGTTTGCTATCCTTACTAAACATACATGCAGAACATAATTATATGTGCTGATCGTTTATGTGAATGGCATCAAGGTAGGCTTGTTCATACCAGCCATGCCACAAACGCCTGAGCAGTGAGTCATTACAACTGTATAGTGTTGCTGTGCAATAGAAAGATTTCACATCCATTGTGATTTTATGAGACCACTATCGTATGTGGCATGACACTGGTTAAAACGACATGAATGGTCTTACATAAAGTCTATTCCTGAACTGTGCTGGCTGGCTCAGTGTGTGTGTGTGGGGGGATGATGCAAAGGTGAGCAATGACGGATGGCTTGCCCTTACAAGTAGGACAACTGGGACTTGGCCTACAGTAGTTTTTCTTTGGGCAGGGAAGGCATGGCAGTTGGAATAGCTCTGTCATGATGAGCACTTGGGGTTGCCATTGTTTTATATGGCAGCAGATTGGGGGTCAGAGCTAGACTAGAACCGGAGGCAGGCAGTTTTAAAGGCCTAGTCATAATGGCTTATGTCCACCAGCTATGTCTCATGTCCCAAAGGTCTCATGACTTCCAAAACTGAGAGAACAAGAGATCAAGAACACTGAAACCATGGAACCATATTATGGCCATTCCTGGGACACAGGCCTGTAACTAAACTATTTGGGGGTGTGAAGCAGGAGGAACAACAATAAAAAGAAACCTTCAAGGCCTACCTGGGCTGTAGAGGCATGACAAGGCTAGCCTGGGTAACTTAGTTTGAAATAGCGAGAGCCTATCTCATAATAAAAAAAAGTAAGAAGAAAGCTAGAGCATGTTTCATTGGTAGACACTTACCTAGCATGTACAAGGCCATATTTTGTTCTCCAGTATTGAAAATGACAAAACAAAATTCGCCAAACAACTGTGTTAGGGCTCCAAACTTATGACATTGTTTAACTTCCTAAACATTTTTGTTTCCAAATGTTGTCTCATCTGGGTTTACGACTTTAACATTGCCTTTGGGGGAACTCTAAGTTCTGTCCATAGCCCACAACACTGTTATTAGTTCACAAAAGTGGAACAGTTTGAACAATATCAAGGGAGCTCCAAAATAAACTTACAAGTAATCGCTAAGAACAAAAGGGGCGAAAATTGCGCGCATAGCCCTATTCCTGAATTTTACCACTAGATGGCAGAAGCACCACACAGCCATTCCTCTTTCAAGCAGGTCATTTAAAAAAAAAAAAAAAAAAAAAAAAAAAAAAAGTCCTCACAGAAACTGGTAGGAAAACAGGGGGCACTTGTGATACAGGAATACATAAGCATTTTCTGAAAATGACTCATCAGCATGGGAAATAATAGCTGGAATTGCCAAATGGGATTACTTGAAATTAAAAGACTTCCTTACAGTGAAGAAAATAACCACACAAAGAGATGCCCTGTGGAATGGAAGAGAATTCTTTTACAGCTATTCATCCAGAAGGAGAGTAACATCTAAACTATATAAAGAACTCAAAAATTTAAATGCCGATCCCCTAATAATCTGATTGAAAAATGGAAAGGTGAGATGAGCACAGGTCTCAGAAATGGGATACACGTGAACGTGGACCATGGGTACCCATGAACCCTCCAACAACCTTAGCTGTCATGGAAATTCAAGCTGAAGCACACTGGGCCTCAATCTGCTCTCTGCTCCTGGTGAGAGTGGCTGTCTTCCTGAAAATAATTAACAGCAAATGCTGGAGAAGATATGGGCAAAGAAAATTATATATTGCTGGCTGGGGATATAAGCGAGAGTAGACACTGGAATTCAACATGGGTAGGAAAGGACTCATTTTGTCTTGTAGATCTCAGATTCCCTCCATTGGTGAGGAAATTCAGTGCAGGAATGCCAGCAAGGCAGGAATCTGGAGGCAGGAACTGATGTAGAAGGCACTCTGCTTACTGGCTTGCTCCCCACGGTTTGCTCAGAATGCCTTCTTAAAGTACTAAGGACAGCCAGCCCAGGGGAGGAGCCTCCCACAGTGAGCTCGGATCTCTCTCATCAAACATAATCAGGATAATGCACCAGACACTCTCTCACAGCAAGTCTGGTGGGGCACTTTCTCATTTGAGGTTCCCTCTTCCCTAATGACTCAAGCTTGTGTCAAGGTGACATAAAACTAGCCAGCACACAACTTTTCTACTCCCAGTATGACCAGGAACCTCTCATTTATGTTCCTAGCAGGCCTAAGTTGAGGTCTCTGCTTACTCTTGCAATGAGCTCATGCCAAGTTTTCTTACATTAATGCCAGTTTGAGGTTTAGTTATGTATTTGGTCTCTCTCTCTCTCTCTCTCTCTCTCAGTGTGTGTGTGTGTGTGTGTGTGTGTGTGTTTGTGTGTGTATGTGTGTGACATCTAAAATCACCTGTGTAGTAGCATGTCAAGGCCCCATTGTGCTCATGAGCAGCAATGGATACATCTTAGGAACTCATCCTTTCTGAGGCAGATGTGGATATCATGCAGGGGGTAGGAAAATTCTGTGTAAGTTCCAGTGTCTGCTACTGTGCTGCAGTATCTAGGCTGGAAATGGTCTTACTAGAAAATGCAAATAATCAAGGATGGATGGACTTGGGAGACAGAACGAGGAGATACAATAGTGTTTCCAATATTGGACAAGGATAGCATTAGAAAAAGCATATAGTCATTCTGGTTGTGATCATGGATGGAAAAGTTCTACATAAATTGTTACCAAACAGAACACACTGCATGTGTTTTATATGATGACAAACTAGGCTTTCTCCTAAGAATGTAAGAACAGGGTTATTATCTGAAAAATCAATTCATGGAATGAACTACATTGAAAGACTAAATAGACAAGAAAATGCTCAAGACTGTTTCAATAGATAAAAGATCCCATTGCTCAAACTCACTATGCTAAAAACAGTAGAACTGGAATGCAAGAATACACCTGACAAGAGACAGGCACAAAAGCAACAGCAGCTTTGGATTTTGGAAACTTCCCTTTAATGCTAAGTATACGATGATGCCATCATTCTCCAAACAGTGATTGACAACTTAGTTCATGCTACTGATGAAAGAAAGAGAGCGACTCTAAAGGGAAACCCAGACTGTTGTTCTTAGGTGAAATTATTCCTTCTCTAGAAAATCAAAGTGAATTTCAAACTACTGGACAAGACACACGTGTTGGAAACAACATAAAATTAATTATATGCTATAAGCCATTACTAGCCAACAAAAATATAACAGGGGGAAAGGATGCTATTGACTATTTGAATAAAGGCTATTTGCATCTAATGATAAATTTATAAGAACAGTGGAAAGCCATTATTGGAGAAATAACTATGTATTTAAAGGATACAAAAGGGAACCCGAGATAATGAAGGATAATGACTCGTTATACAATATTTATGGATAGAACTTTGTATTTTTTTAAAAAACAGAGTCTTATGTAGCTTAGACTGGTTTTGAACTTGTTATGTAGCTGAGGATGATCTTGAACTTCTGACCTTCTGATCTTCTTGCCTCCACCTCCGGAGTTCTAGGATCTTAAGTAAGAGGGTGTTTTACCATGCCTTGTTTTATGCAGAGTTGGGAGATGGAGTTCAGGGCTTCATGCTAGGCAATGTCTCTACCAACTAATCTAGATCCCCAGTGGAAAGGATGAAATTTTGTGAAGATGTCTGTAGCCTCACAAATAAGTGAACAAATAAACTTAATGTAATTATATGGCAACAGAACAGTTTTTTTTTTTTTTTAGATGAATCTGATGAGTGTCTCAGTTACTTTTCTGTGAAGAGACACCACGAACAAGGGACCATAAAAGAAAGCATTTAATTAGGGCTTGCTTAAAGTTTCAGAAGGAGGGTCCATGAAATGGCAGCGGGCAGGCAGGCATGCTACAACGTTGGGACAATAGCTGTGAGCATACATGCTGAGACAACAACCATGAGGGGAGAGAGGAGAAGAGAGGGAGAGGAAGGGGGACAGGGAGGGTGAGAGGGAAGAAGAGAAAGAAAGAGGAGAGAGAGAGAGAGAGAGAGAGAGAGAGAGAGAGAGAGAACTAGGCTTTTGAAAACTTAAAGTCCATGCCCAGTGAAACTCTTTTTCCAACAAACTCTTTCTCTCAATCCTTTGAGAATGATTAATCCTTCTCAAAAAGTTCCACCAACCAGGAGCAAGCATGCAAACACAGAAGCCCATGAGCATCCATTTTCATCTAAACTACTTCAATAAGCCAATCATAAAATGAGTATAGAATAAATGGCCACGAAGAACCAAGACAACTGGAGAAAGAAGAAGGGTTCTTGGTCCTTTCACGTAGGAATGTAGCTTTTACTACTCTAAGGGACTTAATGTTTTCTGTAGGTCATATCAGTAAGAGAATGTGAATAAAGCAAATGATGAGGTCCAGGAACAAAAATAAATGTTTAGAAACTTGGTGTGTGGTAGAGCAAGACTGTAATTTACCGGGCGAGATGAAGAATCATTCAGTTTGTGGTGTTAAAGCAATTAGGCCCATCACTTTGGAAAAAAAAATCAGACACATTTATACCCCACATTACACAGATCATAAAAGCAAATTGCAGGTGGATTAAAGATACAAATATGGATAGCAAAACTTTAATTGCTCTTTAAGCACTTTCAAATATGTGGTATCTTTATGACTTTAGGATTATAAAAGATTTCTTAGAGATTGCCAGCACAAATGTAGGTGAAATGATAAGATTGATGTCATATTAATAAACACTTTTATGAGAAAGAGCCACATAACATTAAAAAACAATGAAATATTAGTGATATATGAAACAAAGGTATATTATTAAAGGTATATAAAATTCACAAATTTAAAAGAGAGAAAACAGGTATATATATATATATATATATATATATATATATATATATATATGATCTAATAAAAATACAAATTATACACATGGACTGGTTACAAAGAAAATTCAAATGAAATGCTTCCTAGTCTTTGAGAAACATAGAGCTATAATGATGTATTGTTAGAGCCATCAGATTAGGTGTGCAAGCCCTGTGTGTGTGGAGAGAGAGAGAGAGAGAGAGAGAGAGAGAGAGAGAGAGAGAGAGAACACTGGGGAGTACACAACACAACTACTTGGAAATTATGCGGTTATGTAACATCTTTTACAACTGTGCACAAAATCCAAGTCAGCAATTAAAAATTTAATTTTATGATTCAGAAAGTCTTTCCTAATTTCTGCCTGAAAAATGATACAAGGAAATTGTCTGCTATGTTTAGTTAGGATTCACAGTGCTGTGATAAAACACCATGACCAAAGACAACTTGGGAAGGAAAGGGTTTATTTTGGGTCCTAGTTCATCAAGGAAGGAAGATAGGGCAGGAACTCAAGGCAGGACTCTGGAGACAGACACTTGAGTTGGAGCCATGGAGCGGCGTTGTTTACTGGCTTGATTCTCACGACTTGTTCCATCTGTTTCTCACACCACTGAGGGCCACCTGACCAGGGAAGCTCGGAGAGTGGGAAGGATCCCACATCAATCATCAAGAAAATGTCCCCCAGACTGGCCAGTACAATGGAGGCATCTTCTCAATTAATATTCCTTCTTCCTTTTTTTGGGGGGGGGTCGAGACAAGGTTTCTCTGTGGCTTTGGAGACTGTCCTGGAACTAGCTCTTGTAGACCACG